TGGTGCACCTTTTCCTACCACACTTTTTCCTTCCACTCAAACTTTCTATGAATATGCTTGGATACAGCACTCTGTGAACAACCAGCTTCTTTAGCAATGAAGTTTTGTGTCTTACCCTCCTTGTGGAGGGTGTCAATGACTGTTTTCTGGACATCTGTCAAGTTAGCAGTCTTCCCCATGATTGCGTAGCCTACTGACCCAGACTGAGATACCATTTAAATGCTCAGGAAACCTTTGCAGGTGTTTTGAGGTAATTAGCTGATTAGGGTGTGACACCATGACTTTCCAATATTGAACTTTTTCACAATATTCTAATTTTCTGAGACACTGAATTTTGGGTTTTCATTATCTGTAAGCCATAATCATCAAAATTTCAAGAAATAAGGGCTTGAAATATTTCACTCTGTGTAATGAATCTATATAATATATGGGCTTCACTTTCTGAAATGAGTGACAAAAATATTGACCTTTTTCATGATATTCGAATTTTTTGAGATGTACCTGTATATAATAAAGCAGGTCTAGTGCTATACACAGATAATTGCAGGCTCTCAATAAGGTAATTGACAGATATTTAGTTAATAAATAGGCTTAAAGTCAACATGAAATCATAATGGAACATTTTTATATATAAACAATTAGGTTTTATTTTGTGCTGTCCTTCAGTGTGCAAAAAAAAATCGTTGAAAGTTTTCATTAAAATGTAATTAAATTTCCTTTTCAGCTGATGAAATGGATTTCTCTAACATCCTGGCTCCATGATCCAATCAATGTGATAACATTTAAATCATAATTTTTTCTTGTTTAGTGTTCAATTTCACTCAGATTATGGAGGGAAAATAGATGAGCAGCATTGCACATTGACATTTGGGTTTGAAGTTAGAAGTTTGAAGACAGAATTTATTTGGATTTATTTAAAAATGTAATGTGAAGGCATTTTTACAGATGCTTTTACCATTCTTGAAGTGTAACTGTTGGACTTTTAGCAGACTATAAAGCACAGCATGCTGTCAACACACTCAAGCCTTTCTGAAAAGTTTTGACTGTAAATTAACCTGCTTTAAGGTACAATTGAAAATATTAAAAGTACAAACCAAAACTAAAAATGTGTTTTCCATACAAATATGTACAGCACTATTCATTTTGTCATCTATTTTCTCTCTTTTTTTCAAATTTGTTCTCACTGACCTGCATTGCAAAAATGCTAACCTAATTTTAATTTTGTTATTCAAGATATGTTAATCCTCTTAGTGATTATTAGTGGTACTTATAACTAGTCTGAATTGTTATGTGTATCACCATTCGTAACCAGTGATGCCACGTGAAGCCCATTCACAAACTGACATAATTCCTCTTCTTTTTGTGGGCACTCATGGACAGTGTTACATAATGATAGCTACCTAGTTGTGTGTGTGTGTGTGTGAGTGAGTGTGTGAGAGAGAGAGCACGCTGCACACGCTGCGCACACAACACCCGTCGTAACTGCCGCCGTAAATGTAGAGAATTTTCTGACATGATTTTACACACAGCACTCCTTGTTATGTGTTTGATAACATCAGTCAAAGTAGCCTTTAAGCAGGCGATACAAAGTGGTAAAATTTACAAGCACCGCCGGCAAGTCCTGGATTCTATCCCAGAACATCTACCGCCGACCTGTAACATTCCATCTACAGAGTCCACGGATTATGAATGATTGCTAACAGAAAATGAATGGATAAATTTCCAGTATTACGAAAGACAATTTAGGAAAGGCCTGGATACAAAACGATTACAAGAAAAACAAAACGTTGTACTTACTGGAGATTTCAGGAAGTGGTCAAGGTTGTTTACAGTTCTTAATGGGATTTTCTTCAAAACCGGAATATTTTCCATAAAACGTACAGATGGAGGACAACTTGGACTACCATTACTCAAGTATGTAGTGCGGATTTTAAGGACTTTGCCACTGGATGATAATGCGCGATTCAAATCAAACTCTGTTGCAAACCCGGCCGATTGGATTGAAAAACAACTGCGGTACCTGCGGGAGGTGATACAACCAGCGATTGCCTCTGCCACAAGACAGCATCAGAGAAACCCTCAAAAGGTAGGCAAAAACAAACTAACCTACCTGTGGCAGCATCGTAGAGCAAAGGCGATTGACATTATCCTAAATGACTGCATGTTTCCCAC